TTGGCCGGCCGGCCGGCCGGCTGGACCGTGGATCTTGGCCGGCCGGCCGGCCGGCCAGCTGGACCGTGGTTCTTGGCCGGCCGGCCGGCCGGCCGGCTGGCTGGCTGGCTGATCGAGAAATAGCGGGCCGCGATAAGCTCGCAATGAAGAAGTAGCACCTTGGGGGTGAAGAATCCCCTGGGGGTTAAGAATAGCAGAATGAGATCCCTCAACCAACGCCAAACCCGAACTGCTACGTGAGTACTCACGTAGCGTACTCTGCTATGTGTACGTCTCATTCCGATGGACATCGGATGTGGCCACTTGAAGGAAAACCTGACAGGAAGCCTCACAGCTGTTCAATTGAACGAGTATCAGACCCTTAGGGGGTTGGGTTAAAAAGACCATCTCTAACCATCTGTTCAAATGTACAGAAACACAAATCATCAACCCTCAAGGCCCTCAAAGCTCTGCAGCGATTGTTATCGACCTAGTTCACCCCAGTCTGCCTTGAACCAGGGTTCCAGGGCTGCTCGCGACTTTGTCTGGGCGCCGATGAGTGACGAGTGACACGGGGACATGACGGACATGTAGACTCTTGATCAATCTAACCCTCCATATGAAGAGGTGTTATTCATTCCATATGAGAGAAATGGCCTCCAACCTACTAGCTAATGGCTTTTCAGGTGATTCATCAATGAGGCTTCCATTTTTCTCCATGAAGGAAAAAAAACTCCCCTCCTCGACCTGCTCGACCGAAAACCACCGGACCATTGTCTCCAACAAAGCGCGACGCCATCGGACCAACAGCGCCGCGTGGGAAGCCAAACACTTGCCGATGAAGCCACAGAAGTCAAACCAACCCGGAGCACTCCAGCTCAAAACCCGATGTATGTCAGAATGTGTGAAAACCCGATGTTTTTGCGTTCACCCCTTGAAAATAACAGGTTTTGATGCTGAAGGGCTGGCGATATACTCATTTGCAGCCAAAATCACCTCCGATTTTGAGCCCTTTGAGAAGGCTGACATCGTCCTGACAGGACGGGTCCCATCCCGGGTGCCTGACGGGTCCCATCGAAGACCCTAGCCCGTTTGCATATACTTAAACCACTTGGGGCTTGCTTCCGGAGCCTCCTTCAACATCCCAAGGCTGGTCGACCGTTGTGTCTTGCTCTCGTCAACCCCCAAGCCACAGCGAGCACTAACTAGCACGGAGGAGGCCATCCTCTCAGCTCGGCTCACGATTCCGAGCTGTCTCAAGGTCCTCCATCCTGGGAAGCTGTGGAAGACCACAGCGCTTCAGCGACGTGAGGACACCGGCGATGTGGTACTCCACAGCTATGTGAACTGCTGAGGTGTTCAGCTGCTTGGCCAGGCAGGCCAGTTCTGTTCGCATTCGACTCTGAGGGCCCTGAATGGCCAAACCATGGCCCCACTGAAGTCATAGGGGGATCCAGGCACTTCCCACTTCCGAGCCAATTCATGGGAGTCCCTTGCCAAAAATTGGCTCAGTTCCCGCCAGTCGACCGAGTTTTTCGGGTGACACCTTGGGTTCGTCAGGTTCGGGTTCCTGAAAAAAGCAACCAGGGGCTCTGGTTCTGGCCTCTGGTTCGTCAGGTTTGTGAGTTCAGGTTCTGGTGGGGGGCCGAATCGGATCCGATGGGTTAGTCATAGAAGAGCTCAGCAGAAATGGTGGGGATCTTCGCTCTTAGCACGTTTTCGCACGATTCAACGTGCATCTCCAACTGAGCTCTCGGGCGCTCGAATGCGGATCCTGGCGCGAGGCCGGTTCACCGAGGCTCTTTTTCAACGAGGGGCCTTCCCCGATGGATGTGGCGCCATGCGAAGCCATGCGAAGCCATGTGCTGATGGGCGATGTCCTATGGGCCCTAGGGATCTGTTGAGGTCGGTTCATGGAGCATGGCGACCAAATTCGACCAATTCCATACACAAACCGACCAAACTGCTGCATGGAACATGAATGAAATAGGGAAATGGCCAAGCTTTTGGAGACATCCCTTCTTCTGTTCTTTGCACCCAAAGTCCGTGGAAAAAGTCCGTGAAAAACCACCTGGGAACGAACAAAGGATGCGACTGTTGGTCACTTCACTGTGCTAAAGCCGAAGTAGGCCACCCAGTGGCTTCACTGGCATGCACCGGATTAATGGGGTGGTAGTAGAACAGCACAAAAAAATACATAAATAAAAGGATCAGAGAAGTATGACTGCCGTCAGGCATACCGCTTCTACCTTGCCATCACGTACCTATACCAGCACCTTCCAACAGGTCTCCTTTGGAGGGTTATTAGGCCCTAACAGGTTTCAATTGGCCGCCTTTTGTGGACCAATGCCCTCGCCTTCGGAGGCACGTGACATGGGGTCGGCGTGGGCGGCGTCGGTGACCCCGGGCCAGTCTCCAAGGGCCCGTCGCGGAGGCCATCGCTCCTTGGCCCTTTCTACATCCTTGGAGCTTGGTTTAGCGCTGGCTTGGCGAAGTTGGGTGCTGGGGGACGCAAGCGGCCAACCATCAAGCCAACGGCATAGACCACAGATTGCAACAAATATTGGTAGGCAGCGCCAAGTGCTTTTTTTGGGACTCGGCGAATACACGTGATCTCCAGTATCAGCGAGAGCTTCGCTGCGTAGCGGCGTGGCACCAGTGGCACCCAGCTCTAGAGCTCCCACGGGACACAGTCCGGCAGCATCCTGCAGCTGCGCCCTGCACTCAAAGTGACACGGCCACAGACATCTGGCAGCCTGGAGTGGCACTTTCCAGCACCTGCGGCACCAGCACGCCAGACCAGCACGCCAGACCAGCACGCCAGCAGCCTGGAGCGGCGAGCTAGCAGCGGCACCCTGCACCCTGCAATGGCAGCAGCACCCAGCCTACACTTGAAACAAGATGAAACAAGTATATATATCAACCCCAATAGCAAAGCCGCGAGAAGCCCAGCCACGAGAAACCACCCAAAGCCAAGCCAAGGAGACGAGTGGAACCCACCAGAGCAAGTGTGGACCCGGTCTGTTCCACGGCGGATCGATGATGCGGATCCGATCCAAGGGTCGGCGCCAAAGCGAAATCCCCTTGGATGGCATTCATGACATGCCGCGCTATGCCCCGGAGGTATACCCCAGGAGTGCCCAGAAGATTGTAGCAATATGTCATCCAGATTCCACGTGAGAATCTTATGGCTATTTTCTGAAATATGGTCTAAATAAGCCTGAATATGTCTCAGGCTGGAAACATACAGTTGCTTCCAGCGCCTGTTTCTTCTTGTTTCAAATCTGGAAGTCCAAAATAGACTTTAAGTTTCCACCCAGGTCGAAACCCAAAACATCACCACCCAACCGCTGCTGAACGGCCACCGCTGCGCCGGAAAACCCAGGAAAACCCACCGGTCCACCTCATTGGGTCGCCGCGAGACCTTGCCATCCCACAGAAGGGACCTCGGAGGTGGCCCGCCCTGCGGGTTTTGGGCCGAGGTCCCGGGGGTGGGCGGTCTGTGGGGGTCCTGTGACTGTGGATGTGTTCAAGTAGCTTCAGTGGATGGTCTTTCTTGTGAAGGTGCTGGAGAAAGCTGGCACCTGGACTGAATGGAATTTGTTTGGTTGTATCACTTGGATACCTGGTGGCTGCAGTGGTTGGAAAGCGGATGCCCAAAGCTTCCTTTGCTTGGCAAAGGAAGTAAACACTGCGGGCATGTCCAAGTAAGGGAGAAGCTAGGAGCTAAGATAGACTCCACCAATTGCCCTGTGAACAAAAGTTGTCTCAGGACATACGGGGGTCTCGTTTGTCTGCAGAATTGTATTGTCAATTCACCAAGAATGTCGATTCGAGGTGATTCCTCAATAATGGGTGGTTTTCCCACCCCCGCAAAAATGACCTTTAAAGCCTTAAAGCTCTTTTTTTGGTAGATCCAATCCTACCCCATGATCCCACCAAAAGTTGCGCGAAGCTTCTTTCTTCCTTCGACTTCGACATCCTGAGGCTGCCTGGCTCAGGTTCAACATGAGATCTCTAAGGGCAATACACTCCGACGAACACATGACATGGGAGTGAATGGCCCACACTGTTTGTTGAGGAAACATGTTCTTCCCTAAGGCCATGCCATCCACTTCATTCCCTGCCACAGGTTCGGAGGGTCTCCACCCCAAGGCCTCATGAGCGAACACATGAGTGTCCTCTTCACCAGCGAGTGGATCCTTGGATCACATGGACCGATCTTGTGGCCCCGTTTGCTTCTCCGATCTTGAGGGCTCCTCCCATGCTGGGAGAGAGACCCCCCCGGGCCGCCGTGGTAAACGCCCCCGAGAGTCCCACCACACCAGGTCGCCAGAGCTTCCGGGCGCCCCTTCGCCCGTTCAGCGGGCCCTGCAGCGGCCCCTTCAGCCCGACTCTGAGTCACCGGACAGTTCTCCTCGACCTCGTTTGGGCGAAGCGACTGCGAGGTGGTGGAAGAAGCGCCGCCCCGCGCCCCGCGCCCGCTTTTTTGGGGGGTGGGGGCGGGCAGAGTCTGGTTCATGAAGGGTTGAGATCTCCAAAGGAGGATGGGTGGACCCTCTCTGGGGTTGAAGCCTTTTTGCAGATGGAGATGGATTGATCTAGAGGGGGGATCCAAAGCCACTTAGTCTCGTCTCGTCTCGCCCTCTTTTTTCGGAGCAGGATCCGAACCGCTGGACGAATGCTGAAGCGGATCTCATGGACTCGTGGTCTGCGCCTCCCAACAATCCCACAGGGCACCGGGACAGGACGCCAGCAGCACCGTGGTACCTAAGGTGCATGGAACCAGGTAAAGCAATGCTGGCTGACCTCGGCTTTGGCCAAACGGGCTCGTTCACCGGCCCCGCCGAGCTCACCGGCCGCGCCAGCTCTTGGGCTGGAACCATTGGGTTTGGGGGTTGGGTAGAAGCGGAAAAATGGGCAAGGTGGTTGGTTTGTGCTTATGCTGGATTTTTGCTGGAGTATGACTAGTTGCCTTCTATGTGGTTACAACTAGAAACATGATTTGAGATGGAAAGGCTGATATCATCCAAATCAAGAGGAAAACACCATCCAAGATGCAGTTCTTCTCCTTGGCAACTAAACTGAATCTGGATTGGATCCTCCAGGAACAACACACAACTGGCTTCATGAAGTCGCTTTGTTTTATTGGGGTCATCATGAAGCAAACAGCTTGGCATATTGACACCACCCCTCACTTCAGCGAACCCCCCTTTCACTCACCTCTTCAGGGTCCTTCCCTTCCATTCTCGTTCGCTCCCCGTTCACAATCTGGTGCCCAGGCCCATCTTCATGATGGTGAGAGCGACAATCGTCGCCTCAAGGGGTTGGATGGGTTTGGTATCTGCTGCTTGCTACTCTGCTCCCTGCTCGCTCTGACTCTTAGAATCGGTGGCTTAATTTCAAGTCTTTGCATCGCTTGGAAAAGGAGATGTTCAAGTCTCAAGATACTCAATTTTGCAATGAACATCCACTTGCAGGCTCCGCCACAGAGACCGCAAGTCTCGTACAGTAACTTCCGCACCCCTCATCCTCTCTGCCAGAATATCACCCCAAAAGGGCACAAAATCAACAGAATTTGTGCAATAGACTAGAAAGCAACCTGGTCAACCACCGTGGTCCACGCCAAATATATGTATGGAGAAGCTTCTCTGCATGCCATAAGAATGGAAAGCAACTTTGCGGCCAGATCCACGTCCAACTGTGTGTGGTTCCATGGCAATTCGGAGGCGATTCGGTGGCTTCATCACTTGAACGCAACCCATTAATGGTGTTCCACCCACCTATTGCGCATCCAAAAACCACAGCTCATGCTCAGCTCATGTGGCCAGCTTCTACCTTCCAGCTCAGCTCCATGGGCGGCACGTACACCCGGACGGCTGGGTATGGCTGGGCGACCGAAAAGCCTTGGCTGGGCTCCCTTGCACAAAGGCCTACGAAATATCCCAGTAAGGACGGGCCGAAGTAGCCTGCCAGACGCGCGGCCACAGTGGGGCAGTGGATTTCAAGGGATGGGACGAATCCATGGAGAATCTGTGGATCCGCATGAGCTCTTCCATTGCAGGTTTGAGATGTGTAATGTCAATTGCACGGGTTGAGGGAAGAATCCTGCACTTGTCTCGAACTGTGCTGTGTGGTTGAGGAGAGTGATGGAAACCAACACCAAAGCTGTGTCTACCCCTTCTGGAAGTGGCGGACTTTCCAGGGGATTGTCGCGGCCACGAGGGCAACGCCTCAACACGCCGGCGGAAGAGTCTGCGGAGCCTTCGAAGAAGCGTCGATGGCTCAGCAGATCGTGACGTCTCAGGTAAGACACCTTGCGAGGTCAAGAGGTCCCAAACGAAAGCAAGGCGTGACTGATCCAACACCATTTGCATGAAAAGGCGAACCAGGTGAAACAGAATGCATCCTTGATCGTAGCAAGATGGTGAGAAGGATCCAAAAACACGCAGGTCTTCGACATCAACCAAACTCACACCTTCAAGCAGTTCTGAACATCACGTTACGCCCTGTCCAGACGGGTATATATTATGTTGGAGTGCCATCCCAGACACCAGTAGCCCTGGCAGCGCGATGTCGCCGAACCTGGCCCCGTTTCGAGCCGAAGCCCATGAATGGCCATCGGCCGGCGGGATGGTGTTTCAGGACGCCCCCTAAAAAACGGGACGAAGATCATGGACACCCCTGGAATGATCCTTAATGGTCCTATGGGATGGTGTTGTTTCTTTCAATCTCTTCTTGCTTAGGGGGGTTATTTCACCGAATCCCAAGCAGGTCACCTGCAGGTGATCCACTTTGCATGGGTAGGCGGCGGAATGGATGGGTTGGGGGGGGTCAGCCCAAGATTGGCTGTCACGAAGGGCGGGGCTAGTTGCAGGATTGTGTGATCACACTTACAAATTCTTAGTGCACTTCTGTTGGCATGTGGCCTTGAGGCCCAACAAAGAGCCATGTGTTACCCTGCGCTGTTTTGCGCAGTTGCTAACTGTTGAGGAGCAGCTTCAACTCTCCAGCTGAGGTAACACAGATGCGTGTATGTGGGGTGTGTGTGTGTGTGCGAACTGTATAGGACCATAGGAACTCCCTCCACCTCATCAGCTAGGTCAACATATGCAGGCACCGTAGCCATTTTGGCTCAAGATACACAGGGGGCTCTTGCTGCAAAGCAGGCCTTTTTGACTCCAGGCTAGCGTTCTTCTGCGAACTTAGAGCATGTCAGATTCAAGCAACTGTTTTGCTGCGGCGCGCGTCAAGAAATTCCACGAACAGCGACAGGCAGAAGCATTACTTATCAGTGAGTATATAACTGAGCAGCTGTGTCGGAGCTGATGAGCCGCCGTAGAGGTGAAGAGTTGTAGTATACTAAATAGCACGACCGGGTCTCGCAAAGTGTTCTGAACGTGTGTTTTGTGCGGCAGGCTGTGTGGCCATGAGTTGGTCAGTTGGCAAGGTGTTGTAAACTGACCTGGCTAGTGTTGGGCGGAGATTCAGCAGCTCGCTCTCATAGGGTCGAGCAGTTCACTGCACTCTGAGGCCTGTAATCAGTCCCAACGAAGGGTTACGCCCTGGAAGAGGCCCACAGAGAACCTGAAAACCACTGGTTTGTGGAGCTTCCAGCTAGTTAAGGTGGTCTTCCAAAGATTCAAGCTTCAGGTTCCCGGGTATAAAGGTTCTACACTTTTCCTAAGTAGGTGAGATTCAAAGGAATCATCATCAGATCCCCCAATCTCAACTCTTCCAGCATCCCATGAGATTCCAAGCATGGTACGGGATGACAATGCACCGAATCCTGCACCACTTGGAGATCCTGAGATCCCCGCAAGAAATCATCCTAGGACCGGGCATACGGATTGTGGCTGCAGGATTTCTTGCAAGAGTCTTAGATCTTCCCAACTGTGCAAAATGTCTGCCAACCTTGGCTGGCTTCGTAGATGAAAAGGCAGAAACGTTGCACGTACGTTGGAAAGAAACGTTTCGTATCCATGCAATTCGCTGCGGCGATGGAATGCTCCCCCCCCGACGAACTGAACTGGAAATCACCATCCAAAAACACCGCTTCAGACCCAATCATCAAACGGACATCATCAATCAGACCAGCTAACCATCCTCAATCAAGATTCCCCTTCACTGCCAGCTCCTTTGTCCAGCACGACCCACTTAATCACCTCCTGTGTTTCCTCCATTTGGCCCCCCGACCCAAAACGACCCTGGCAACTTCATTCGGAACATCCGGCGGAGCGCCGCCCAAACGGGCCCAGCAACACCCGAGCATCCGATCTCCACCCAGAGGATCGCCGAACTGGGGTATCCTCGCGTTTCACGTGGGGCGGTGGACCGGCGGTGGACCCGCGGTGTTCTCGCGGTAGACCGTGCGGGTGTTTTTCGAGACCCGAGGAGTTTGTTCTGGCCCCACCATTGATGGAATAGCCTGACGAACCATGGACACTGCAAAACCAGGTCAACCATTCTTCACATGGTCTTCTGAAGGCTTGGGGAGGGGTTTCCCAGCGGCCAGATATCGCTTCCCATGAGGCGAAGACTTGGGGAATGTCGACGAGACTCGGCTGTGGTGATGTTGACTTGGCGACAAGAAAACAAATGGTCAACGAGACTCGGCTCCTTACTGAGATTGGAAATAAAAGTAGAAACTGTTTGGTGTCTGCAAGGAGAACGCAAGCTGGGCAAGCTGAAAAGGCTCAGCGCTTGGGGAGAAGCTTGAGATACCTCTCCTTCTCTCGAAAGGCCAACTCTTCGCGGGTTTGAAGATTAGGGAAACTAAGTAACTTAAAATGGACACATGGTGACAACTGTGGCTGCAAGAACTCAGTCCCTTGCTTCTCTGGTGACACATAGTCACATGCACTTAAGTGGTATATAGCCTATCTTCTGGGAGTGCATCATCAAGATTCATCAATGAATCAAGTATCCTTTAAGTGCCGCCTGATCCGCCTGATCCGAACATATAGAATAAAGAACAGAACAATGACAATTCATCCTACCACATCGACTTCCCCCCCACGAACACCCCAAAAAGTAAAGCCGTCCGTACGGACCCGCCCGTACGGACCCGCCCGGTCCCCCATGGACGGACCCTCACGCCGCCTGATGAGCATGGGCACCGCCTCGCCGGTCCCACCGCCCGTGGCCACGGAGACCATGACGCTCTGGTGGAACTGGTGGACTGAGATGAACACCTCGGGGTCGAGAACGGACCCTCTGAGCCGGTCGGACCTCACGCGCGTAGTCCGGACCCGCGGATGGGCTCTGCCCTCTCCCCGTGGAGGCCGCTTCATAAGGAGTGGTGTGGTGTTCCTTGAGGAAGTTCACGTTAGATCTCTTGGTGGGGGAGATGGACGTCCTGGGAGGGTGCCCTAACCCATCAAAAAAACAAGATGGAGCCCACGAACCCGAATGCAAACACGTTCGAAAAGCTACATATGTCCAAATGACACTCTTGTAGGACACTCTTACAGCTTGTGAGACGGACACTCTTGTAGGAAACTCTTGTGGGACACTCTTGTGGGACACTCTTGTGGGACACTCTTGTAGGACACTCTTGTGGGACACTCCTATGGGACACTCTTGTGGGACACTCTTGTGGGACACTCTTGTAGGAAAC